TTTCTAAACTAAGTCGGTATTGTAATATCTGTTTTCCAAGAGAGAGAAATACAATTGAGAATAGTTTTCTTCTTCCTTAAGCTTTTTTGTGGTTCTTATTTCTGGAATTCTTGAGCTTTTCCATGGATGTTAAGAGAGGGGTGGTTAGTTGTACTAAATTAAAGTAGAGTTTATATTTCGTAATTTTTTATTTATTTTGTTTTATTAGATTTGTGATTCCCCAAAATCATCCAATTATGCACAAGTTCTCTTTCATGCTAAATTGATAAGTTTTTAACTTTCACAACATGCCTTACTTAAGCAAGCCATAATTTGCCTTACTCACGGCATCCTTGAGCCACCGATCTAATTGAGATATTTACTAAGATACATTAATTGTTTCAAGGTATCCTAGGACATGGTGTTCGAACAAACTAGAAGAAGCAAGAGTTTCATTGAGGCGCAAAATCCAACTCGATCAAAAGATCCCCAATGAAAACCAATTCAAATTCACCCAAATCTTTTTCAATTTATTAGACAAATTGCAAAATTTCTCAATCCGTAAAAAAATACATTAAGAAATCACTCCAAGTTCACCAATATCGCTTATTCCTAAAAAGAATCACAAAATTCCGACAAGATCTGCACAAAAAGAAAATTGGGATAATTTGGAGGGAGGATGGTGCAATTTTACTCGACCTGAGAAGACCTAGGAAATTTGGAAAAATAACCGAATTTTAGACCCTATATAGAATTATAGCCATTATTTTAATTTTATGATAACTATAACTAAAACTTGATGTAAAAGTATTAATATACTCTTATTTTATTAGGTTTTCACAACAACCAAAACACACATGACACACTTGATCGATAGGATGATCTGGTCTAGGCTCCCATATCGATTGCCAGTCTTGCCCTGCCATCCCAATCACAACATGAATAGGTCCCATGCTCCCACAAGTATAGTTTTCCAACTAACAAAACCTTTCATATTTGTGTATGTTACATTGTTCTTCACAAGCAGAGGCTACATTGTTCTTCACAAACAGAGGCTCTAAATGTCCAAACGCTCCAGCATTTTCGCCTTCGTTGGAGCATCACCTCTCTTGTTTCTTCTTGTGTACATCGGCCTATGTCTTTGCACGACCACAAATGGCGTCTTCCTCCTATCCACCGCCTCCAAATCCCACTTTATTAATTCCAATTGCTTGCTTCCTTCAACAAAATTGGCTTCCGTTGGAATGTACACAACATTTATCGCCTCAACGTCAAACGGACGGTAAAGATTTTGCGTAACTAGGGCACTTGTTCCAGTCAGTTTAGATGAATTTCCAGGCATCTTGAACTTAAGACTGTAGGGCACCCACTCCGGTTTCCATGGCTACATTGGCCAATCATACTTGTTATTGAGTTTTTATCAATAATAACCAAAATTTAACACCTAATTTCATAAATATCACATTTTATAACTTCTTTAAAAAATAACAGAAACCCCACTTAAATAGACTTAAATACCCTCCCTTGCTATTCAAACAACCAAAAGCTTAAATGCCCTTATTTGGAAAGCAAGAGATAGCTTGGTATGGGAAGGTTTTAGTGCATATCCTATTGCTTTAATTCACAACACCTTCAGTTGGATGCATGGTTTCCAGGGAGGCCAATGAAGAACTAGCGGAGTTAGTAAAACTAAACAATCATGGTGGATGCCTCCTAATGAACACCTAATATTCTTCATTGAAATATGTAGCATTCATGGTCAAGAGTGTTTATCAAATATAGCCTAATATTAGCCCCTAATTTCAAAATGTCAGTTTTCTATAAAAACTTTCAAATATATTCAAAATCTCCCTTAAATAGACACAAATACCCTTAATTCATACAAATAACTAGTTGTTGAATAAAAGATTCTTGTGCAATAATCAAGTTGAGCTTTCCCTAATATTTTTCTCATTTTCTTATTAGTACAATTAATTGACAATTTGTAGACCAAAATAAGAAGAATAAAAACACAAAGAAAGAAAATTTTCTATATCGTAAACCCTAATTTTTCTAATATGCACTAAATGAATTTCATATAGCTTTCCTCTAATAGATCAGCAAATGGTATTAGGTTTGTCAATCTTCCCTTGACAAAAGAAACAAAATTTTTGTAATATGCACCAAAAGAATTTCTATTCTGTAAACCTTAAAAATATGTTTTTGCACTTTCTAAGAACACAATAGATCTCTCGATTCACTACCACAGTCCATGATAACTTTCAAAACAGAATCTGGACAAGAACAACACCCTTAATGTAACATCCTGAAATTTCTAATTCGGAAGCCAAACACACAGGTAGGCCACAATAAAAATAATGGTTAATTATAATTCTAACTAACCACAAAAAAAAAAAAAAATCATTTTGTTTAGTTTATGGCTGCATCTAACATCCCGGTTAGACTGCCTACGTACCCTAAACGAAGGGATCAAGTCATTTGTAGTTCACATTACGCTTCTAAAACAACATACTAAAATTTCATTATGATCCAACGGTCGGATCTCCGCCAATCACGAAATCAAGTGGCGGTCGACGTTTTATTTTACGAACTTACAAATCCAATTCAGGAAGATCCATACGTTAGATTACTGATCTGTAAGTTCCTAAGGTCCTCAAATATTACATATTATAATGTATCAAATTTTAGTGATGATCCAACGGCCGGATCATCGATATGTATATGGACCAAGCCACATATCGTAGTGAATTTAGGTTCAAACGATCAACCTACATCATACAAATATCAAAATTGAATTCAGGACATCTAATTTAGCCTAAAAATAGCATTGACAACCTTCTGGCCACACGCTGCTGTGGGTGGCGGTCGGCCGCCCCGACTCGCCGGAAAATTTAACTATTTCCAAACATTACCAAATTTTTTAGGAATGTACAACTCAAGGAGAGGAACATTTTTCATACTTGGGCCAAAGTCCAATTTGTCCTGTAAATACCTGAATTTGGCCACAAACTGTCGGAACCCTAGAATTTGGGTGGCCTCGATCCGCCACTTCCAGTGTTCTGCCGCCCCAACCAAGGCTTGGTGACACGCCCCGACCCGGAATGTCCATTAGGACTCCGAACCGAGCTGTGCTGGCCAACATCTGGAAGATGACAAAGTCATAAAGTGTAGTGATGTGGAAAATGTGAATAAATTTAAACCTAAAAGTGCCTAAAGATAAGAGTGCGTTGTGAGTGGGAATGAACCCATTTCACACGCGACGTCAGAGCATAAGTAAAGTATAGTAGGGTGGGTAAAGATCATACCCTCAAAGGTAGCCACCTATACTAAGATTCGCCAAGAATCCTCGTCAATACGAACTTTCAGCAGCTAAAACCTTGAGGGGCGAAAAACAAGGGTGAATGGGCCTGAAAATAAAGTTTTAATAAAAACCTTTTGAAAATGTTATAACCCCTCATTGTAAAATCTGTATAATTTCCCAGAAAATAACATACGTATATAGAAATCAGGCTTGAGAGCAATGAAAACCAAAGTATGTGCCATGTCAAGTATCTTAGTAACAAATATGTAAGCCAAGTGCTGTGAATTAATATAAAATAGTATGTCAGCCGGAGTCACCTAACGTGACCTGTATGATTGAACCTATAGCTCAAAAGCCAATTCATGCACACGAGTCGGAACCACCTATTGTGGTCTGTACGATAGGCTAGGTGTAATAAGTACGCTCAAGTGCTACGATCACATAAAGGCTGTGCGATGAATCGCGGGTCACCTATGAGTCGGAACCACCTATTGTGGCCTGTATGACAGGCTGGCACCAAACTTGGATCCAAGATGAGCATGCGGTGCGGGAGGTGAACGATCATGTGAAGGATGTGCCCTGGCCTCGAGCGGGAGCACTAACACCGGTGTGCAGGATAATGAGCTTTAAATGTATCTACGTATAACCATACACAATTCAAATAAGACCATCATAGTGCACTCACCTGATACTTACCTGTGCCTCTACAGCATCATTCAATATAAATATAATTCATACTAATGCAACATTTAAAGTGCATGAACCAATTCAAAAGCATTTGTGGGAATTGTCATTCATTCATATATACTATAAAAAGCAAAAGACCCACTCACCTAGAGTCCACGCTATCCCTAGCATGAATATCGAGGCGTCACGAACGATTTTCGTTATAACTCCGTTATCCAGCAAGGTTGGGAATTGGACTCATTCGTTATAACTCCGTTTCATGAACGATTTTCGCCTACACGCTCGTGAGATCGAGCTTTGTCCAAATATGTCAAGACACATGATAAAATATACGAGGATAAAATACGTCCTCATAAAATTACGTTTTGCCACGTAGGGCAATTTTTCATCATTTCCACTTATCGATAAAAATTTCCACATAATTACTATATTTTAAAATTTTCCCAGGGTATTACACTTAATAATGCAAAGGTGTGAAAATTAAATACGAAGCACGTATATCCCAAAGGAAAAACGTTACAAAAAATTGACACTTCATTATTCCATAAATATTCAATTGAAGGATGAAACTACAAAAACTAAAAGAAAACGTAGAGGAGGAAAAATGTAGAAAAAACTAACCATCTACTAGGTCTCCACCAACCGTGGATGCTTTTGTTAGGTCTCCACCATTTTTTAGGTTTAATCGTGAGAACTCTTCATCTAATAGGGTTTTAGTATTTTAATTTATTATGTTTAAAGTTTAAGAGTACTTGTGTCTATTTGAGTGATATTTTGGACTTATTTGAAATTTTTTATAAAAACTAACATTTTTTGAATTATGAGTTAATACTTGGCTATATTTGATAAATACCGATTGTTATTGCCAATACAAACATGGTATGAAGTCTTGAATATATACATAACATGACATGAATAATATATTAGTAATTTTACATCAAATTTTGATTATAATTATCATAAAATTAAAACGGTAGCTATAATAGAGTACAAATTTGATTATTTTTTCAAAGTTTCTAGAAGACCTCGCGGGAGACGATGTTTTGGGGCACTAGTCCTCTTCATCTTCTTCCCGCAACGGAGCTCTACTCGATTGCATTGCAGTGCAGGTTGCTCACCAATTTGGGGATTGCATTTCGTTGTTGGATCGCACTAAGGTTCAAGTTCGTGCTCTTTCGAATGTGCCGAAGGCTACTCTGGTCACAATTGAGCATCCTACTGAGGATGATTGGGAGGTTGTGAAGCTAATTCTGAGCTTGCAAGGGCTGCAATTTTGAATCAGGTGCTCCGAGTGTTGTCAATTCGTGATCTTTTTGGTTGTTTGTAATCTGTACATTTGTATATTAGTATTACCGTGTTGTTCGGTTGATGAATGCAGGTGAGGATTCTTCATGAAGAAATGAAGTTTCCCTTGTGGTTGAACGGCCGCACTACCATTACATTTCATGCAGCTTCAACCTTCCCGAAAAAAGCGGTGGGTAAGATGATGTATGCTTCGTCCGAATTCAATTATTCAATGAATTCTCAGATTAGAAATCAATGAGCCCCGCGGCTTAATGCTTGTACTTTATAATGATATCTTGGTCTACTTGTGGATATTACCAGTGCAACTGGTGCCAGGGACTGAAGTTGCAGTTGTTTCATAGAGAGGCAAGACAGTCGGCCCACATGGAGATCGTTCCATTCTCTCTCCAAATCGATGGAATCATATTTCAAGGAGGCAAGATCTTTCTGATTCAGTTGCTATTCACTTCGTCTTTATTTGAGAACTTGTCTGCATTCATATGCGTATATTCTACCCAATGTGATTGGATTACTGTTTAGCTATAATTCATATAGGATTACAGGCTCGAATGCTATTCGTTGGAACTGACAAATGCTTTTGGTTCTTGTTCCTATATTTGGATTTAATCTTCTAATTATACATTCATGATGCCTTTTATCACACTGTTTCTTTCACAATTAATCAAAAAAGTTGGTGTCTTCCTGTGGATTTTCCATCCCTTCCTGTATTAAGTGGCTAATGGGGTATGCTAAGCTTGCCACTTAACAAGAAAATGTTAAGCAAAATCATTTATAACCTTTCGTTGACAAAACTGATTGTTTTAATGAGCCTGCTCTCATACCTGCTGGGGTATATTTAAATGGATGCAATGGTGTTTTGAAGAATGACATTCCATTGCTTTCAGTTTCTCCCTGCTGCTTTAAAATATTGAAAGACAAAGCTGCTGAAAGAAATGGTCTAGATGTTCTCAATAGGCACAAACTTTGTGATAAGAAAAACATGTTTCTGACGACTGGCACAAGCACCTATGTAGTTGTTGCAGATTGGCCCCCATGAGAAAGTTGTTACTGCTTTTCCATATGAATATTCTCGACAAGAGGATGAAGAGGCGGCTTAGCAGTCTGACGAGTTAAAGGGAGTCTCAGATTGGAAGTGAAAGGGCATAAGTCTCAGATTGAGGAAAAGGTACTGGAATCATCACATGGATCCCACAAAAACAAAACTAAGAATGCTGATCAACCAATTGAAATCTTATGTGCATGGAAGTTTTCCAGTGAATCTCAACATGCTGCCAGAAATGCATATGAGCTTGAAGGTGGTCGATCCTAAGATGGCTGATCCTGTGACCATTAATTCAGTTAGGGAGAGAACATTTGGAAAAGACATCAGTTCTGATGCATCACCTTTGTGTTGGATGGAAACAATTCCTTCTGACGTTTCAAACAGTAGGTATTTGGATTTCCTTGTGAAGCTGTTTCCTGTTCTGGCACCTTTTTTATGTTCACCAATTCTTATATGAAATTTTGATGGTCTGTTGGAAGTTCAATGAGGCCGCTATGTTGTTACTTAAGCTGGGCACAAAGCACAGGTGAATACACACACAGATGGACAATCTAACAATGAGAACATAAAAATGTTCAAGCTTTTGTGATGTATGTTTTATTGATTTGTTGTTATCAGTTAGAATATGGCAGTATCTCAGGATGGACATTGGAGTTACAAAGAAAAAAAGGAACTTTTGATTTTTGACTTTCTTATCTTGCAAATAAACGCCACTAATTTAGTATTGTATCCGCTCTTAATTATGTGCATTACAATAAGTGTTCTGTATCTTTTTAATGAAGTTTCACAGTACTGTGCATGATATCTGTCATTGACAAAGTTCGTCGATGAGGTTCTTAAATTGACTTCCTACTTGTTTGCTAGTGTTATTTGCTGCATGTGTCTCTATGAGAATAATTAATTATTTTTACCCTTATCTCTAAAGGATTCCGTAGTGTTCCCTAATACAAGATGTTTTCAAATGTAGGAATGTTGGTGTTGTTAACTCCTGCTTCTGGGGCTTGGTTCAGTTCATGTGACCTTCCTCCCCCCGGACACGTTCTGCTATATGGAGCTCCTGTGAGTTCATCATATTTTCACATTTAATTTTTCCACTGGTTCATCATAGCTCTCGATACCAATTGTTGATTTTAATCCCCCTTAGTTGATCTTGTTTACCGATGCAAACTTATAAGATGATGCTATGCGAAGTATATAACAATAAAGAAAACACGCCACACACAAACGCAAAGAATTAGCGAGTTTCGGCAAACTTCCCCTTGCTTGAGATCTCTCGATCACTCCTGTCTCTCTACTCTTGTATTCTCTCTGTTGTTCGTGTTAATAAACAACCCCCAACAAGCCTATTTATAGTACATAGACCAATGATTACATGCCTTACAAGTATAGAATTCCTAAATCCTTTTAGAATAGGGAAAACTAACGTATTCCCTTTGAGGAGAGAAATCACAACACTTTCAACCCCTTTATTTTAAATAAAAAGGGTATGTGTTTGTTCAAACCAGAATTGGAAGAAGTTGGATAAATGTGAGCCTATGCTGTCGTGTTTGGTATTATAATGCATGAATGACATAGCTTTTAATCTATTGTACTAACGTGATGAAGTGCGATAACTCTACTGTTTATGTCCTTTAGTCCAGCAAAGAATTCTATTGTTTCTTTGACGCTGTTTGCGATGTTGTGATGATATCTTAGAAGATATAGCTTCCAAATGTGGTGGCTATGATTAATATGATCTGGTATTTTTCCTGTTTTTAAAATTACTTCTTTGGGGGAGGGGAGTTGTGCAGCGCTATGTAGAAGTCACTTTTATATGCTTTACAGGCTGTTATATTACTCCACTGTTGCATCCTTATATTCCTACCTTCGAACTTTTAATTCTTGATAAATGAATGCTTATGAAGGCGACACCACATGATAATGTTTTGGCAAAAGAGAATCCCTTTCAGTGCTTCAAGCATGACATTTTCTGCCTATTTTTTGACTTCCATATTTAAAATGTTTTTGTCAGTATTCTGATCATCTAGAATTATTGTAGAGATATAGTTTTGATATTGATTAGCTTAACAATCTACCTTTTGATGAATATTCTGTTGTATGGACCTCCTGGTTGTGGAAAGACGCACATAATTGGTTCGGCTGCTGCAGCCTGTCCACTAAGATTTATATGCATATAGTAGCGACACACACCAGAGAATATGCATATAGTAGCGATTTACAACCAGGGTAGAATTGGCGGTAAAGGGTGGGTGAGAACAGGTTTCCAATAAAATTTTATTGGGACAATTTTTAATTTGTTAGAATAACAACAGTCCAATGATTTTGTTCTTGACTTGAATACAGCATAAAGATCCATTACAGGCTTTGCATGGTAGTCGTCAGTTCCTGTACGATCAAGACCATATCCATCTAAGGACTTGGTGAATAAATACATTGGTGCTTCCGACCAAGCTGTAAGTGGTGGTTTATGTCGATCTTGGTCCTCCCATGGAATCGAAAGTCCTGTTTGTGGATTGTTTCGATCATATTTGCATCGTCTTGATTGAGTTCTGAGTATATGCCATCTTTTCTAATTATAGGTTTTCCCATTGTCTACTTATCTAATGTAAAAGAGACTTTATTTTCATGTTAAGCAGTAGAAAGTTAGAAACAAATATGCATGCATGCATAATGCATTCAGGATCAGTTCTCTCTCCTCCTTTGGCTCCTAGTTTCCTGCATCATTATACCATAAGAAACATTGTTATCATACAAACAAACCTAAAGCAAACAAAAACAAACCAAATAATTTCTTTCATTCCACTCACCAGCACCGCCTCCTCCTCGCGCTTTCTTCCCCGCCCCTTCACAGCAGCCAACGCCCTTTTTTGAAAAGAAAAAACGAGGGAACAATTAGATAATGACTTCAAGTCTACAAGTACATATATTGTAACTGCAAAAATAGACAACAAACCAATCCAACCCAGGAAGATCCTCCTTCAAACAACTTGCATCGACCAAGTCATCAAGCTTGTTTGCATAATCACGCCTGCAAAATAACAAGACGACCATAAATTCACCTTCGCATAAAACTACAGCAAAATGCATCCCATATTACTCTACGTGTCACAACGTCTACGTGATAAATAATTGCAAGATTCCTTACATGGCAAACACTTGGAAGATTTTCTCGTCGGGAATGACTTCATCACTGAAATAGTATGTTGCTTCGGCTACAACATCAGCACGAATGGATGGATTCTCAGGAAAGCCCTCGATCGACACCTTGAAGACTGCGACACGGCAACAGCAGAAACCCAGCTTGTCAAAGCCGGAGCACACGATGCACATAAGGTCTTCCTCGCCAAACTGGGTGATGAAAGAAGTGCAGTTGTTTATATGGGGACGGAATATCTTCCGGAGCCCATCCACCTCCTGAGAGTCGAAGGAAAGGCCACCGCAACCCGATCGATAACTACAGACACACCCTAGTTGGGGAAAAAGGAGAAAATCCTTATACTGTGCTAAACCTCCCCGGGCATACATTCCGCCCATGATGCCACAATCTTCGTGCCATTTTTCTGAACTAGTGTCAAACTGATAGCGTTGGCCAGTCATCCGGTCTCGAACAATGAGATTCTTATCCCATGTGTAGCAGCAATCCATGAATACACCCTCAATCTTAACATCAACGATGAATGGAGGATTCGGTAGAACTTTCCAAAGAAGAAGGGAAGGATGGAAGACCTCAAACAGGGCGGGTGAGGTTTCTTGGACGTCCTTTCCTCTGTACTCTGTAGACAAGACATAAATCTTGTCGTCAATGGTGGCCACGAAGGGTTGGAGCTTCGGACCACACATGCGGGGAAGGTTAGACTTGCACATAGGATACAACATCGAGGTTGGCCCAATCGGGTGGGGCTTTATAAGCCTTCTTCAACGCTTCGAAATGAGGGCGGATATCATCCAAAGCCGGATGATTGTAGATATGTGGAGATTCCCACAGGGGTTTAGGAAAGGAAGGGGGTTGAAGACTAAATTGTCCTCCAACAATATAAGGCTTGGAGTCGACCATGACATATCTCATGCCCCATGGAAGAGAGCGTGGGCGGGTTGTGCTTGTGCGGCTGCCCTCGTTGTCGCTGTCATGGTCGGGATAAAATCCGTTGTGCAACAGTTTGAACTCGGGCTTTGGTGGCCTGCGAGACTTGTGCAGTTTAGACCACTCCATCAATTTGACAATATCCAAAGCCAATAGTTGCCTGCCCATTTGCATATGCAATATCCAACTCTTCCCATCCTCGGGCATTGTCATATTCAATAATTTAGCCTGTTTGAACAAAAACCGGCATCAATCAGACACTGACAGTTTGTTTAGTCATGAGTGTAAGTAAGTGAGTAACCACGCTAAAAAAGAAAACGACCCATAACAATATCACAGGTACATGCACCGAGTAATCAAAGTATTCCAGTTGCATAAGGAAAGGGAGATGGAAGCCGAAAGGTGAAGGGGGTTTGGGATTCAAGAACCTTTATGCGTTTAATCTCGCTTTACAAGCAAAGCAAGGATGGAGGTTAATACAAAATCCTACTTCGCTTGTATCCCGAATTTTCAAAGCCAAGTACCACCCTTAAACGGAGTCCGGGTTTGGATCTGGGTTCCTACCAAATTATCAATTTATATTTGAGTGAAGAGTTGTATAATATTTGGTTTAAAACTGAAGTTATAGAAGAAACTGTTTGAAGATATAACCCAAAAACTCAAGTAATTCAAATCACAAAATTCCAAAAACTCTACCAGTACCCAAATTGCAGATACCCATGTAAGTGAAATAAAACAACCATGTCAAGCATCTCAGTAGAAAAATTTACCTGTATTTAGGAAGGAGGCAAGGATTTGAGCGCGGGGAGGAGAAAGAGAAACAGAGAGAAACAGAGAGAAGAGAGAACGGCTGGTTGACAATTAGGGTTGGGGTATACTTTGTATTTATACGGGTCGGTAAGAGAGAGAGCTGGAGGAGGCGATGCTTCCGTGCGAAAGAGAGTAATGTGCGGTGTGGGTCGACTAAGGGGAGGAGAGAGAGAGGCGGTGAGGGTTAAAGCGGTTAAGGGGAGAAAGAGAGAGAAAGTGGGGTGTGGGTAGGGTTGGCTTCGATTCAAAACGGTTCGGTTTTTTGTCAAAATCGAAATCAAATCAAAATTTTGGTTCGGTTTATTTTTTTTTCGGTTTGGTTTTTTTCGGTTTCGGTTTATTTTTTTTTCGGTTTGGTTTTTTTCGGTTTCGGTTTTATTTTTATTTTTTAATGATGTAAATGGAAGAAACCTACCTATCAACCTCCCAGTTCTCATATGTTCTCATATATCAGAGAATTGAGTGCCTTAAAATCTGGAATATATTCAAGTAATTCAACTACTTATGATCAAGCAAATCGATTTCAAATTTTCAAAACTTAAGCAAATACAGAAACATATATTCTTCAAGGAAATGTACATCGCCAAGATTCAAAATTCTAAAAATTTAAAATTTAAAAAATCATGAAATAATTCAACAAATTAGTTGATCGATGCAGATCGAAACAAAAAAAATGCAAATGGGTTCGTCTAAATGCCATAGTCGGACTCCAATATTGCATGCCCAGTGCCCACATTCAAATTCATAGTCAAGTCCACAATAGATCTAGAAAATTCCAAAACATATTCAGAGAAAAATACAAACTTTTTCACTTAAAATTACATAAATTTCAAATGGGTAACCATAAATTAAAAACCCATGAACTGACAAATAAATAAAACCCACAACCTTTGATGCAGTGATATTGCCATGATCGTCGCAAGCTCTTACAATTCCTCTTTTCGTCGGGTCTTGTCGGGTCTCGAAAGGGGTGAGGGAAAATCATGGTTTGGAAGAAGGAACCCACGAGGAGGACAGGAGAAGACTGGAGAGAGAGTGATTTGGAGGAAGAGAGGAATGAGAGAGAGAGAGAGAGAGAGATAGACTGAGGAAACAAAGGCAGAGAGCAACCGACGGAATAGAGAGAAGTGTTTAGGATCTGAAATGAAATGGGAGTGAGACGGCTAGGGTTTGTAAAGTTAAGAAATTTTATAAAGCATTAAACATAAGAAACCTATAAATAAATTACTGGTACAATTATAAGAACACAAAGCCTACAGTCAAGTTGGCTTGCAGCAACTAACCCCAACATGCAGGGAAAGGGTTCAAACCCCGACGCTAACATGTTTTCTTTTAGTATTTATATATGATTTTTTTTTCTATCCGGTTTGGTTTCTGGACCTCAAAAACCGAAACCGAACCAGCCAGATTCAGTTCTATTCGGTTTGGCAGTTTCGGTTCGGTTTTTTTCTGCCTCAGTTCGGTTTGGTTTTCGGTTTTTTGAACCCACCCCTAGGTGTGGGTGGGTTATGGGGAGAAATTTATATATACTAAAAGCCTGTAGATTATCACTGTTCATATTGTCAGATATAGCACTGTTCATCAACAGTGAAAGAGCAAACTTGGCTTCACACCAAATACACGTGAGCGTGAGCATTGAACAAAGTCAAGATGAGCCTAAACCCGCCCCTTGAACATCAGTCTTGGATAGGCTGAACTGTTCAAAACCCAGAATTTCGGCACTCGATCGCATTGATGGTCATAACTGAACCTCCATCTTCAAAAGGCTTAACACGCCAACACCCCAAAGCTTTGTTTTCGAAAGGTTGTCAAAACCTAAGAAACAAAGTAATGCAGCTAGCTCTCCTCCGCAATGATCGGTTTTGGAAATATTTGAATAAACCAAGAAGCCTTCTAGAAAGAGGAAGACAACGCCAAAGAAGGAAAAGCTCAACAATCTAGCAAGGATGAAACGCCAAGAAACCTTGGAAGTTAACACAAAATGACCACTGAAGGTAAAGAGGCGCACCATCATCCATAATGGCCAATCTTCACACTAACAAGCCCAACAGGACAACACCGAAGAGGAAGTCCAAGACGTCTTCCACATCACAATCCAAGAAGATAAAGAAAAAGAAGTCCCCGAGGAAAACGTCACTGCTGCACCACCATAGCTTGAGGATGAGGGGCAAGCCATGGTTGATCATCTCAAGGATCTCAACTTAGGCATAAGTGAGGAAGCAAAGCCTATCTTTGTAAGTGCATTACTAAGTGCGGACGAGATCGATGAGTATTACCAACTATTCTTGGAGTACAAAGACGTATTTGCTTGGACCTACAAAGAAATGCATGAACTTGACCCTACCATCATCGTGCATCGTCTTCCAGTCAAGGCTGGAACACGACCAGTAAAGCGAACTCAAAGACAATATCAATCTGAACTCATCCCACGAATTGAGGTCGAGATTGACAAGCTAATCGAAGCAGGCTTCATTCGAGATGTACAATACCCTAAGTGGATCTCCAACATCGTCATTGTCCTTAAGAAATCTAGACAAATATGTGTTTGCGTAGACTTCCAAGATTTCAATGATGTTTGTCCAAATGATAACTTTCCCTTGCCAATCATCGAAATCATGGTGGATGCGACCATTGGCCACGAGGCATTATCATTCATGGATGGCTCATTTGGGTACAATAAAATCCACATGGCTCTTGAAGATGAGGAACTAACAGCCTTTCGCACTCTAAAAGGTATCTACTACTACAAGGTAATGCCCTTTGGCTTGAAGAACGCTGAAGCCACATATCAACGCGCCATGAAGAAGATCTTCAACGACATGCTACACAAAAATGTAGAGTGTTACGTACATGACGTAGTTATCAAGACTAAGAAAATATCCGATCACTTGAAGGATTTACGAATGGTGTTCGACAAACTATGACACTACAACCTCAAAATGAACACATTGAAATGTGCATTTAGCGTCACCTCTGGGAAGTTCCTCGGCTTCATTGTCAAGCACTATGGCATTGAAGTAAACCAATCAAAGATTAAGGCCATTAAAAGCATGCCCGAGCCAAGGAATCTACATGAGCTGAAAAGTCTACAAAGATGGCTTGCCTTCATCAAACGCTTCATCTCCAACCTCGCTGGACGCTGTCAACCCTTCAGTCGACTCTTGAAGAAGGATGTTCCGTTCATATGGGCTGACGCTTGCTGCAATGCCTTCGAAAGCATAAAAAGGTACAGTGCTAGACCAATGGATTTACCTGATCCAGTGCTCAACTTATTAGGGCAGTTGAACACAGCCCACCTAGATGCTTTATACTTCATTGTGGAAAGAGGGAATGAAGTGTACCGGTCCGATTGAATCATTTATGTTTAATGTATTTTTATTCTGAACTTGTAGTTTAAAACTCGCATTTCAATTCAATAAAAGTGGCATTTCAATTTCCTTTTATTATGAATAAATTGTGTTTTACTGTGATCCCATTTACTCAGAAAGTATGGATAAAAACTATGGTTATTCTCAAAACATGAGAAATGGTGGAGATATTTGTCTTGCAGACAGCGCAACCACGCATACAATACTTTGTGATTGAAAATATTTCTCAAGCTTAATGCTTACAAAAGTAAGGGTAACAACAATATCAGACCAATCAGATGTAATTGAAGGCTCAGGGAAAGCCCAGATTATGTTACAAAATGGAACAATATTGTCCATACAAAATGCGTTGTATGCTACTCGATCTACTCGAAATTTGTTGAGTTTCAAAGGCATATGATTAAATGGATACCACATTGAAAAGAAAAGTGCAGAAAATGTGGAGTATCTATGCCTTACCTTTAATGATACCCAGAAATGTATATTGGAGAAGTTGCGTGGTTTGTTGAGTAGATTATATTATACATACATAAAGACAATTGAATCACATACTGTCATGAACCAGAAGTTAATTGATTCAAAAGTTTACATGCTTTAGCATGACCGTTTAGGCCATCCAGAATCCACTATATGTGTAGGATCATTACCAACTCTAATGGACATCCATTATTGAGAAGACACATTGTTATCTCAAATGATAACCCTTGCAAAGCTTGTTCTCAAGGGAAGTTGGTAATTAGACCATCACAACTAAAGGTTGATGCTGAATCCCCATCATTTTTGCAAAGAATTCAAGGGGATATTTGTGGGCCTATTCAACCATCTTGTCTTAAGAGCTCCCATGCTTGGAAAGCCGTTTATCCTATACATTGTTGCACAAGAAGGATCCATTGGAGCATTTTTAGCACAAGAAAATGAAGACCAAAAGGAAAAAGCACTCTACTACCTAATTAGAACCATCACTGATGTCAAGCTCAACTACACACCAATCGAGAAAATGTGCATTGCCTTAGTCTTTGCCATCCAAAAGCTTAGACACTACATGCATGCTTACACCATCCACTTGGTTGCCAAAGCTAACCTGGTCAAATACATCATGTCCAAGCCAATTTTGACATGGCGACTATCCAAATGGGCATTGCTTCTCAATCAATATGAGATCATCTACATTCCAGCTAAAGTCATCAAGGGACAAGCGCTAGTAGACTTCCTTGCCAATCATTCAATCCAGCCGATTGGAAAATCTCAGACGACTTGCCTAGTGATGAGGTGTTTTACGTCGACATCTTCCTGACATAGACAATGTTCTTCGACAGATCCACACGAGCAGACGGAGCGGGGGCAGGAGTAGTATATATTGTTGGAAATGTGCCCTAAAACCAATCATATAATGATACTTTATGGACATTTAACATGTTAAACTAATCTAGTTTAATATAAAGGGCAAAGATTATTGTTTTAAGCCGTCTCATATAAATGTTATATGCTTAAACGATAAGTCCAAAGAATATGCAATTGGGAGAATGTGATCTAAAGAAGTTAGATTCATGAGACGATTCTCTTTCGTATACATATCCTAAACGTTCCTGATCATAGGATTGCCAATTGGGCATTGACAGTCCGTTAAGATCAGTACATGTTATGTCTTCTCTTAGGGAGAGTGACTGGTCTTGAGTCATTGGTGGGACTGACACTAAGACAAGCATGTAGGTGCTCAATAGAGAATGAGTCCACTGAACACGATCAACAAGGAGTTCTCATACTCATGTCACATGAGAACTCATGGTTGGGACAATGCAAAGTAGTCATTTCACCTGAGGCATCATAGTTGTCTTGTGGTTAGGTCTTTGATCTTTGACT